TTCTTTCTTTCTTTCTTTCTTTCTTTCTTTCTTTCTTTCTTTCTTTCTTTCTTTCTTTCTTTCTTTCTTTCTTTCTTTCTTTCTTTCTTTCTTTCGTTTTTAGGCAAGGTCTCGCTCTGTCACCCTGGGTAGAGTGCAGTGGTGTCATCACAGCTCACTGAAACTTCAAAGTCCTGAGCTCAAGCGATCCTCCTGCCTCAGCTTTCCAAGAAGCAGGGACTACATGTGCTCGCCACCACTCTGTTTTTGGTAGAGACAGGGTCTCTCTATGTTACTCAGGCTGGTCTCCAACTCCTGGCCTCAAGCAATCCTCCCACCTCAGCCTCCCAAAGTGCTAAGATTACAGGTATGAGCCACCGCACCCAGCCTCTTTTTCTTTATCTTAATGTTCCTATAGTATCTGTCTTTTATTGTCAAACATACCAAGTCTTCTTCAGAGTCAGGTAGTAAGTAGGAGGATAAATAACAAATACAATACTTAAAAAAATATATTAAATATAGAAATAAGATAACTGAATATATGCCATATGCGTGTCTGTACATTTTTTAATTCTTTTTAAAACTATGTATCTTAGTTGAGCATGTCTTCAAGAATGCTACCAACCTTTTTCTTGGCTCAAAAGGAAAAGGAATTGCACACACCTTGGCCAGGAGAGCTGTGAAGATTGGAGTGCCCCTAGAGGCCAGCACGGGAGTGGCACCAGCTAGCCCTTCAGAAGATGGAAATGTGAAACCTCAGGGAACCAAGAGTGTTGGGGCCAGTTTGGATCCCCAAACTCTCCTGCTGGGGCTTCCCTTCACCAGCTCTTCTTTTCTTATTCAACAGATTCCTTTAGGAGAAGGTATTCCCCTGCACAAGTTCACCGGCTAGTAACCAAGGTGACCAGAAACTCTGAGCCTTTGCTTCAGCTCTGCCTGGGATCTGACTGCCTTGGGTAGCTGCTTCTACTCTCCAACCCCCGTCCCTGGGGGTTTTCTCCCTTAAACCTGGCTGCTTTGTTACCTTTTGTAACAACCTGAATGGAACTGGAGACCATTCTTCTAAGTGAAGTATCACAGGAATGGAAAAATAAACACCACATGTACTCACCATTAAATTGGAACTAAACAATCAACACTTAATGTGCACATTTGGAAATAACACTCATTGGAAATCAAGCAGGTCGGAGGAGGGAAGAGGGGAAGGGTAAATTCACCCCCAAGAGACACAATGCACACTATATGGGTGATGGACACACCTATAATTTCGACTCAAACTGTACAAAAGCAATTTATGTAAACAAAATGCTTGTACCCCCATAATATTGTGAAATTAAAAAAAAGGAAGTGGGATTGGGGATACCTATCTGGGGGCAAAAGAAGGAAGGGATCACAACAGGGCTTTTTGGAGATTTTCAGATTCTTAGCTCAAGGTCACCTAAGCAGGCCTGGCTAATGATGCACTGAGAAAATACTACAAACCACCCCTTTAAAAATAAGTATCTTGAACAATGACTGGAATTTTTTACATCACTACATGGCTTGAAATTTTTCAGAAGTCAGGAGTCGTCAACAACCAAATCCCCTGCGCAAGTTGGCTATTTATACTTCATTGAGAATTGGCCTAATGAGATTGCCCTCACTTCCCAGCTGGCTGAGTTCATTGTCTTGAAGAAAATGCCCAGAGGGGGTGAGCATGGCAGAGCCTGGGCACAATGGCCACTGTGCACCCTGTGTCAACCCTGACAGGGAGTGGGAAGATGCCAGAACCAGCTGCGAACCAGTTGTCAACCTGGCCCTAGACCTTCTTTTTCCTCCCCACGATCCCAGACTTGCAAAGGAGTGATGTTCCCAGAAGAAGCCCTGCTGGCTCTTAATGAAGAGTTACTCGGGTTCTCTGAACTGGGCCGGGGTTCCCAACCAGGGCTGCCCGTCAGAACCAACTGGGTGACTCTGTCACAACACACATGTCCAGGCCAACCCTGGGTTAGTTTGGATCAGGGCCCCAACATTTTCTAAAAAAGCTCTGTAGGTGTTTCTCATAAGCACACCAAGTTGAGAACTGCTGGGCCACAAAGAGAGGGACATCTCCTGGTCCCCATGCAAGTAAGGTTACTTTCCAAGGGTTGATTTCATGTCCTAATCTCTGCATTTCCTCAAGAGGACTGACTTGGGAAATTTTTCACTCTCTTCAGAGGTGTCCTTACCCACTCCCACAGAATTACGACTTTCCCTGAGTGCTAACAGCTTAACCACATTAAAAATGATAGTGCTAATCATCAAAGCTAGAATAGCCAGCAGCTCAGTAGCTAGGGGCAGGAGTCCTTCCATATCTCACCACCCCCATACTCAGTGCCCCTCATCTTGACCCGGAAGGGTTGGGTGTGGCAGAGAAAGGTGAGTGTGGCAGCCCCGGCTGCCTGAGGGAGAAGGCTGGGATAGGGATCCCACACATCACTCTGGAGGGAGAAGAGCTCCATGTGGTATTTAAAGGTGAAGATTCTGAAGGAAGCAGCCTGCACCCAATCCCAGAGCTGCCCTCACTAGCCCAGTGTCTTTGCAAAGTACTCAACCTCTCTTAACCTCAGCTCTACCATTGTTAAAGTGGTGATAGTTGTCTTTACTTGTTAAATGAGGATTAAATGCTATAATGCTTTGCCATCCAAAATGTGGTCCACAGAATCACAATATCAGCCTCCCCTGGCAGCTTGTTAGGTATGCAGAGTCTCAGGTCCCACCCCAGCCTTCCTGTCAGAATCTACATTTTTTTAAATTATTTTATTTTTAAAT